TGGGTGTGTGACGTGCACGTTCCTGAGGTTGTGTGTGTGACGTGCACGTTCCTGAGAGTGTGTGTGTGACGTGCACGTTCCTGAGGTTGTGTGTGTGACGTGCACGTTCCTGAGGTTGTGTGTGTGACGTGCACGTTCCTGAGGTTGTGTGTGTGACGTGCACGTTCCTGAGCGTGCACAGACAGAGCAGCTGCAGCTTTTGTTCACTTCCTGTAGTCCTGCAGTTTTCAAGCTGAAATGAAAAAGCATCATGAAGATGAACTTTACAGTCTCTAGTTACCTGTTCATAGAAACACATGGAGGTGTCTCACCTTGTGACTCACAATAAAATATGTAACTTTATGAACTCTAATGAACTTATAATGATGCTCCTACTCTCTGAAGGTGAACCCATGGTACCACACCATCTCTCAGTCGGACAGTCTGACCAGTTTGATCAAAATCCTCCAGTTTAAAATCCTCACTGCTCAGATGAATCCTCCTCAAAGATACTTCCTCCTCTTCCTCACATCTTGTTCTTTGGGAAACCTTCAAAATGAAAACAGGAGATTTGTGTCTACACAAAAACATTGTACAGAGGAGGTCAAGCTTATTTTCTACTTCCTGTATTCTCACTAGTTTTATTTTTTATATCCTAGAACTTAAACAAAACTCCAGTTCTGATGCATATCTGTTGATAATGAACCAAAGCTGCTGAAATAGTGAGTATGATTGTTAGCAAAATATTCCTGTCATCAGATCTCAGTCAGCTTCATTGCAGCTGAACACCGTGTTACACTAAACATCACATCAGCTGGTGGACATAAATACAGTACAGTAATATTATATTCACAAAATACTAACAATAATATGTTCATCTTACTGTGAAAAGTTATCCCCCGAGACCGGACGTCAACAGTCGATTAGAACAGAAATAAGCTGCAAAGTGCTGAAACATCTTCTGCTTTAACTGAATAAGGACGACCGTTTCAAGATGGCGGCCGAAAATCTCGACCTTGACCTCTCTAAGTGTCTTTAAGAATCTGTTGGACACCTGGCAGGGTCCAGAGCTGCTGCCTCTAAGCGAGCAGGTCCCTGGTTCAAACCCCGGTCCAGGGGCCTTTCTGGGTGGAGTTTGCATGTTCTCTCCGTGCATGCGTGGGTTTTCTCCGGGTGCTCCGGTTTCCTCCCACAGACCAAAAACATGCATGTTAGGCTGATTGGTAACTCTAAATTGTCCCTAGGTGTGAGTGAGAGAGTGAATGGTTGTTTGTCTCGTTTGTCTCCATGTGTCCCTGTGATGGACTTGCAACCCGTCCAGGGTGTCCCCCGCCCCTCGCACAGTGATTGCTGGACATGGGCACCAGCGACCCCCGTGACCCAAAATGGAAGAAGCGGGTAAAGAAAATGGATGGATGGATGGACACCTGGCAGGGTCCAATGCAGACATGTTCCTGTTTTTAGTTTTCTACATTTGTCTTGGAATCTAGCTGTTTTTTGTTTTGTTACCTTTTCCTTTTGGCCATCCTATTTGTTAAAAAAAACAAAACTGTAGTATGCTTTTTATAACTGCTTATTGTTGTTGCTGTTGTCCATTGTTGTCATCTTTCTTTGTTGAAATCAGGTCTCTCTTGTAAATGAGTCCTCGAGGCTCAATGGGATTTACCTGTAGAAATAAAGGTTGATTGAAAATCCTGCGACGCAGCAGCCAATGAGGCATCTAGTGTTTATATCTATGCAAGTAGGTATCTCTTATCTCTGCAGGCAAATTCGGAAGGCGTATCTGGGCGGTCATATCTGATTGGACTATAGGAAAGTGGGCGTATCTAGTTGGCCACATCTGATTGGACGATAGAAAAATAGGCGTGTCTGGTCGGCCGTATCTGATTGGACGATGGTAACTACAGTCATTATGTCTAAAAACGTTGGTTACGTACTGTAACCCCAGATTCTTTGAGTATAAGCGTACGAAATAGAACAAGGCGTTATTGGCAGATTATGTTAAGCACAGACATATTATATC